TTTTTTTTTTTTTTTTTACAAAAAAAGCACTGCGTGTATGTATACATATTGTTTTCTCTAAGCAACTACCAAGTTAGGTGGCCTTATTTGTTTATGGCTATTAAAGAATTATATCAACACTTTCAATGATTGAACTAAACTTTGCTAGGAATCCAAATAACTCTGCCCCAGCTTCCTGCAATTATTGTTTGCTTGCTTGATTCTCTCTTCCTGAACATACTCATTGTAAAGCAAAAACAAAAACCAGTAAATCTAATGCATGTCCTTATAGAAAATGAATGAAATGTTTCCAGAAAGATGAAATGAACATTGGATACAGCCATTTGTCCGAAATGGTATAGGGTTTCCTGCCTGAGCAGGGGGTTGGACTAGATGACCTCCAAGATCCCTTCCAACTTTACTACTACTATTACTTCTACTACTACTATTATTATTATTATCATCAGCAGCAGCCGAAAGGAGAATGTATTTTTTTTCTTGTAAGGGGCTACGTTTGTGTGTGAGTGTATATGTGTGTGTATGCATGTGCGTGCAAGCGAGAGAGATCTAGGGAGCACTCCCCAGATCTCCTTCCAATCCAGAGAGCAACACGAGCAAGTTGACCCTCCCTTTGACCTTTCATGTTCCGGCTGACACCCGCGGTGAAACCAAGTTCATCCCAATATAACATCTGGCACTCGAGGGTCTAGACAGATGTAAACACAGCCAGGACTATTTGGGAAAGGGGGAGCTTTTTCAGTGAGCTCCAGACAAGCTTTTTCAGGGAGCTCCAGAGAGGACGCCATTGTTTATTACCTGCCTTAGCAGAAATGCTCCCCAGTTCACCTCAAAGAACCCACCATAAAGCTGGGAAACAAATATTTGCTCAACCTTCTGCCTAGGAGCACTTTGAGCTTCTAAAAGTAGTGGAGATTCAGGTCTGCTTGAAACACACCTTCCATTTCAACGGAGGTGGGTGAGACTGTCGCCAAGAAAAACAACAAACAGCCTCTTCTGTGGCCTTTGAGGGGAGGATCCCCTAGAAATTTCCCTCTGTGTATGTGCACAAGCACCAATACTTGAAGGGATGGGAGATAGAAAATCCAACCCCATACAATTCCTTTCAACAAGACAGCCAGAACAAAATGTCTACATTTTGTCCTCTAAGGATTTTCTCTTGGGAAAATCCTTCTGAATGACAAGTATGTGTGTGAGTTTGTGTGGCCACCTTTTATAACACCCTACGAACCCATTTCTTAAAACAGTTCTGAGGAGCGTTCAAAGCAAACTGATTAGATACATAAGATTTCAAATAAGAAGCTTTGGACGATGTTTTTTTTTTAAATGAATCTATTTGGGGAAGGGGGAGATAATTAATTAGAAGGCTTTGAGATACTACCCAGCATCCACTTACAACGAGGTCCTATACCTGTTTACTGGGAAATCAACCCTACTAAATTCTACTTCAGGGCTCTTCAAACTTGGCCCTTTTATGACTTATGGACTTCAACTCCCAGAATTCCTCAGCCAGGCACGCTGGCTGAGGAATTCTGGGAGTTGAAGTCCACAAATCATAAAAGGGCCAAGTTTGAAGACCCCCGTTCTACTTCAGGAATGAAGGAAAAGGGGGACTGAGAAACGCGAAGAGCACCTGTAATACCCCCATTCTTCTGTGGCGATTTTTTTTCTAAAAAGAAAGCCGGTCGTAACGTGATCTTCTGGATTCTGATCTGGGATGAAACGGGGTTTTAAAGGAGCGTCCCTATCTTCAAATGTTTAGCAGATGCGGTCGGGGTGGGCAATAAACTGGGATTAGAAGGGGGGGGGGAAAAAAAAAAAAGGAAAACAGAAAGTCCTGGCCGGTTCAAGCCTTCCGGAAAACAGAGGGGGGCGCCAAAGGCCAGCAAAAAAAAGCACCCACAGATATCCGCTTCCTATTTTTATGAGAGGTTGCCCGCGCTGCAGTCTGGGCCGAAACTCGCCCATGTGCTCTCAGGCACAGGAACGGCAGAGGCTTTTATGTTATTCCGTTCCACCGCCTCTAGTTCGGTGTTTGTGTCGGGATGGGGTGAGGGTTGATAGTTGCTTCTTGCAGGGAATCCCCCCCCCCTACTCTGTCTGGGTTTTTTGGGGTGAGCCTGTCACGAGGCCTCGTGGCGACTTTTTTTTAAAAACAAAACAAAACAAAACACGAATTGCCCCGGATTTTAACAACAGAGTCGACTTCCAGAGAGAAAAAAATGAGACAGCAGGAAGGGGCACGGTTCAAATTTTCCAGCTGTCCTGTCAAGAAATGGAAAGGCAGCTTCGGTTGCTTTTCTTAATCAAGGCTCGGAAGAGGACTTTGTCCACTAGCTGGTTAATTCTCCCTAGCTTGTGTATGTATTTCCCTGCATATATTCTGTGTTGGTGAGTATTAATTGTTTCCTAGAGGAAGGACAAGGGAGCAGAAGGACAGGGACGCAATTTTAATACAACGAATGGCTCACAATAAAGTATTAGAGAAGCCCGCGTGTGAAATGGCGCTTCAGGCAACCGGAGGAGCTTCTGTTTCCAGCTCGCCGCCCTTCCCAGCCCTTCCGGTTTCAAGATGCGTCCAGCCTTCGGCTGCTATTGCAACGAAGTTCGCGTTGGGAAGAACTCAAGACACCCCCTAATTAAAGGCGGAATTGGATTTTAAGTTCATTCGCCTTTTAAGGACCTTAAAGGTGACGCTAAAACCCTTCCCATGGGGGGGGGGGGAATCCGCAGGCTCGCTTGGATCCTTTTGAGCTACTTAACAGTAATGCAGCAATGCGTCTGTTCTTATTAGTCTGCGGAAGTATTAAGATTGTGAGGAATTACCTAACTCAGATCTTTTTTTTTCTTTTGGTTTGGAGAGGAACGAATTCTTCAAAAGAAGAATTCTTTTGAATTCGGCTCAGAACTTAAGCGCCACCTTTCCTCCAAAACCAGATGGTCTGTGGCCAAATGCACCGAACTAGCATCCCACCTGAGTCACGCACCCCGAATTTTTTTTTACCCAGTCCCTAGAAAGGAAAGAAGGACCCGAAGTGCGCATTGGCGTCCGAAGCGACGGCATTCGCACCCTACTAGTAATCAAAGTTCTCGCCGAAGGGGGCGTTTCCGATCAGAAGGCCAGAGAAGAGCAACTCTCTCTCTCTCTCTCTCTCTCTCTCTCTCTCTCTCTCTCTCTCTCTCTCTCTCTCTCTCTCTCTCTCTCCCTCCCAACTCTCTCTCTCTCTCTCTCTCTCTCTCTCTCTCTCTCTCTCTCTCCCTCCCTCCCTCCCTCTCCCCCATCCCATTCTCAGTCCCCTTTCGGCGCTGCTTCTTCGGCAGCGAGCGAGTGAGCGAAAGAGAGGGGGAGAGGGGGAGGGAGAGAGGGGAGAGGAGGAGGGAGGGAGGGGGAGAGAGACGGAGAGAGAGGGGGAGGGAGGGAGAGAGAGAGAGAGAGAACGCGCGAACCGGGAAAGAGAAACAGATGAGCAAACTCAGGTTCAGGTAACTTGCAGTTTGGCTGGGACCGGGGGGGGGGGGTTGTGGTGCGGCGGGGGAGGGGAGGGAGACCCTAAAAGAGAAGAGGAGATCTCTAGGTGAGTCACATTCTTTGCCTGTGAACCTTTGAGACTTGGGAATCGAGGCCTTCACCAAAGACAAGAAATTGATATTTTAAGCAAGTAATCCCGGCTCGATTGAAAAGGGAGAGGAGACTGAAGAGAGATCTAGGCAGGGGATAAAGGGGTGAATGAATGAAAGCTTCCTTCCTTTCTACAGCTGTATCCAAATAAGCCCACACACTTCTCCACTCATTTAAATCGTGTTCTGAAGACTCTTTGGGACTCTGCCCCCTCCCCTTCCTTCGGTGAAAGGATGTTGCGCCCAAGGCTAAGGAAACACTTTAAGCAGACTTCCGTCGTTAAAGGGGTTGATAGATCCGTCTTCTGTCAGAAAAAAAAAACTTTGAAAGGGGAAAAAAAAAAGGTTTGTGGGCGCGTTAAGGAAATGTGAGGAACCCTTTGAGATGACACTTAAGGGAGCCGTTCCCCGGCTGGGGGTTGCGCCTGATGTGGCCGGTCTGATAGGTGAGCATTGGCCGAGAACCTATGTTGGAAGGCTGAAGAAGGGTGGCGGTTTCGCGAGTGCCTTTCTTTCAGGAAAACCCGGTTTTTTTTTTGTTTTTGTTTTTTTAAGGACGCCGGGGAAGAGGGTCAAAAGCTAGCAGGGAGATGAGTGGGGGAGAGACAATCTCCGCCTCCCCCCTCCCTTGGGCAGGTTTTCTTCTCCCGGGCTGTCCCCAAAACCCCTTTCGCAGGAATCACACGATCTGTTTCCCTTTATCCGGTGTTGCTGTTGGAGGGGGAAAAAAAAAAAAAACCACGAAAAAGAAGTGGCGCCCCTAGGAGCTAAAAAGCGGGACACACACTCACGCGGGTGCGTTCACACTCATACAACCTCAGCTCTCTCTCTCTCTCTCTCTCTCTCTCTCTCTCTCTCTCTCTCTCTCTCTCTCTCTCTCTCTCAGAAAAGCAAATAGGGTGGGGGTGAAAGGAGGGCTGGAATCAGCGCATAATGATTCACCTAAATGAAGAGGGAAATGTTGCTCAGTTCGTTTATTAATCAGGCTGCCAATTTCACCCCAGAGGCCAAATCTCAGCAACCCGTGCAGGATCTGATCCAGCGCTGGACGAGGACTCCTCTCTGCCTCCTCCTCCTTCCCCTCCTCCTCCTCTTCCTCCTCCTCCTCCTCCTCCTCCTCCTCCTCCTCCTCCTCCTCCTCCTCCTCCTCCTCCTCCTCCTCTCCAGTCCTGGTCTTTCCGCCTCCCTTGCTGGATCTATTTGTCTGCTCTGAAGCCGCCTTCATTATCCGCTGACAGGATCTTGTATTTATTTGCTTATAAACCTGTTACAATAAATGATTATTCGACCAGCGTCATTCGTACCTTAATGACGAGCACTCCTTTTCTGTGATGAATGACATTTCGGGGATAGAAAGGATGTGTAGGTCATTTTGACCAGTCATTCCCTTCGCCTTTACATCTCGCTCCCCTTTCTCGTCGTCTTCTTGGTTTTGTGCCTCCTTCAAAATAAATAAATAAATTTTTAGAGATATTTTCCTGACCTGAAAGCGAATTGGCCCTTGTTGCCGTGAGCTGATTATTAGAAGGACCAATCGTATATTTATATACACCCCACATACAACCACGGACACTCAGGCACGCACACCTACATACATTCCCACGTACAATTTTTTTTCAGCGTGGGGGGAGCTGAGATGATGGAAAGGATAAGAAAAGAGATGATTTTGATGGAAAGGGGGCTGCACAGCCCCACGGCTGGCAAACGGCTGGCCAATCTGACCGAGGCGGCTGGCAACGCAGTCCTGGAGGCCCTGGAAAACTCGCCCCACGGCGGCCGGCTCAGCCCGAGACTAACTTCCGCTTCTCTGCACAGCTCCATCGGGGACCTCCCCGCCGCCAAAGGGAAATTCGAGATCGACGCTTTATTCAGCCTTCAGCACCAGAACAGCGAAAGCGCCGTAGCGGCAGAGCTGCCTCCCGCCGAAAGCCGGAAGAAAATTAGCCATTACTCAGAAGTGGCTGCAGAGGCAGACATGAACAGCGACGTGGAGGTAGGCTGCTCCGCGCTTCGCTCGCCGGGTAGCCTGCCCTCCTCCCTGAAGGAAAGCAATAACAAAGGTAACTCTCTTCCCTCGCGCTCCCCATCCCACCCCGAAACCGGCTTTTAGCGGGGCGAGGCGTGGGGTGGGTGGGTGGGTGGGGGGGAGAAATCCACGCATAGCAGGATCGAACCCTTATCCTGTTTTTTTCTCCCTCTTTTACTTATCCCTTTCCCCTCCCCGTTAAGAGAAGGCATCACGTAAAACAAGGGTTTAAACACCAGGGTATTAATTCGGGGATCAACTGAAGGTGCTAAGTGGCCCCCCAGCATAGCATCCTTAAGGAATCTGAAGCAAAAGGTTACAGAGTTGTGTGGGTTGCGCACGCCATCCGCACTAAGCGAATCTCCGAGTGGCATTTGGGTTCTTCTGTGTCAAAGTATGCAGGGCAGGAGTGAAAAATATACTTGCACTTATTACACGGCATATCCCCACGTCTGGGGATCTCTCCGGAGATCTGCGATGGGATTTTACAGGGCTGATCTAGAAATCTGAGGGACGCTTATTTGCCGGCTGTGTTTAACCATCCGCCCGCGATTTCGCAAGTGTAAACAAGTACTTTTTGCTGAATTTTTTATGAAGCGTATTTAGAAAAGAGTGTGCATACTGATAAACTCCGAGATCGCAATTAGATCCTGTTGGTATAATGAATATAACTCAGTTTATTCAGAGTGCAGGTGGCGGGTGTCCTTTTAAGTAATTTATCTCCACATATGTCTGATTTTCTATTCTGGGTTTTCATTAAAAACGCAGCATTTTTTTAAAAAATGTTTGCTCTCTTCTATACTTTTTGCCTTCTCCCTCCCTCCTGTGCGACCTACTTAGCACTGTTAACTTTGACTAAGAATAATGCATCATAATGTCACAAACTCGTCTAACAACTTATTTTTAAAGCTGGGGACAACCCATTCTACGGGAGCCAAGTTGCACAATTAGAATCATCAGCGACTGGGGGACTGTGGAATCTTTTAGGAAACACATTTGAACAGGGCGTTCGTTTGCAATCCGAATTGAGCACGCCGTTCCGTTTATCCTCCTTTTCTAAACCTATGAAAAAAGTGAACGAAAAAGTAAAGGGGAAAAAAAATCCCCAGTGATGGGCCCCAGAAAAGATTAGCTGTAGGCGCCTTACAAAAGACGCACCTAACTTTCCCCATCGAATATATATCTTAGGTAGAGTGGAATCTTTTTATCAATAGATTTTTTGTTGTTGTTGTTTTTAAAGGATGCTTAATTTTCTTGATGTCTTCTCACTTAACTGCAAACAAAAGATAAAAGGAGCAACTTTCTATTGATTCGATTAACGGCTGGCGATTTGTGTCCCTGACAGACAACATTAATTATTTGGGGAAGTGTGGATTGCAGGCAGGGGCTGAAATCCGCCTGGCAGCGCGTCTCCGGGACAATAAACGGGGGTCTTTTGTTACTTTTTGTCTGGAAGGCTATTCGGAGAGCAGTTCGACTCCGAGCACCACCAGCTCGTCCTCAGGATCCACACTGAACAACTTGCACAGCGGAAGCAACCTGAGCACTTCCAGCTCCGGGGCCGATCAAGTGAGGAGGTACCGCACCGCCTTCACCCGGGAGCAGATCGCCCGGCTGGAAAAGGAATTCTACCGCGAGAACTACGTCTCTCGGCCTAGACGGTGTGAGCTGGCCGCCGCGCTCAACCTTCCCGAGACTACCATAAAGGTATTGCCAAGGGAGGGGAGACTGACGAGAGCCAGGCCGGTCCTGGCGGGGCGGGTGGCTGGCGGCTCAAGTTCCGATTTTGAGGGCTTGGTTTGTCATTTCCGTGTGGCTAGCTCCCCAAGCTGTAGTCCTGTTTTAGCCGGGCTTGCCTGAGACTGAAAAAATGTCCTCTTCTGCGCCCGCTTCCTCCGAAAGGAGGAAGGATTCTGATCAATATAGAAAGGAATCAGATAAATAAAAGGAAAGCGGATTGCCTTGCTATTTTAAGAACCTTCCTCCTTCCACGGCATAGGTTTTCGGATTTTATTTTGTTCACCTTAGGCTATTGCTTTTCACATTTGTAGATACATACAAACACACAAAAAGGAAAAAAAAAAACAAGGAAAAAAAGCAAAAAAATGGAGTGAATGAAATATCAAGAATAACAATAAAAGAAGCGACAAACGGATTGGATAATTAACCAAGTCGCTCTAGAACTGAATATACACATTTTGTTTCCCCCCCCCATTGGTGTATTTTTTGTTGTTGTTTTTCCCTATAAGGGTTTTCTCTTCCCTTTAAGAGAACGAGGATGCTAAGCCATCAGGCCTCTTGTAACTTTCTCAAAAAATGTAGATTGGCACTACAAATAAAAACAGTAGATAAAAATCAAAGGGAGCATCATCATCAGTCTTGTATTAAATGTGTCTTTGTGCTTTTAAACTCAAAGAACGGGAATCATGCCTTCAGCCTAAGTCTTCAGGAAGGCATTATGTCAATCATTTCCTAAATAATAATGGCAAAGGGGATTGAGATAAAATGACAGTAAAAATATCATCCATTTTCTTATAAAGCATCCCCCAGGTCAAATCCCCTTTTATTATTACTATTTTACAATTTCAACAGAAACTTAGTCTTATAGCAGTTTTCACCTTCTGAAAATTTGGCACTGGGTGATAATGTCAGTTCTGCATATGCTTACCTGTCGTGGACAGGAACTAAGCTGAATTAATAATAATCGATTGGATTAGAGGTTGAAAGACCATTTAAGAATAAAACAGCAGTAGCATTTCAGATAACTTTTAAGGTGGATTTTTGAAAATGTATGCATCACGGTTGTTCTTTTGCCATGCTATGCCGGCAGTGATATTCAAATAAAATGTAAAAAGCTCTTTTCAAAGAGAGATGTATGTATTTTAACCTGAATCAGAATTAGAGAAGCCAAAATCATACAGAAAGATCCTGAGTTTATCCAGGATTAAAATGCAGGCAAGCTTCTTTTCGATTTTGGTAAACACCCGCTGAGGAATACTGCCTTCATGAAGCTATTTTAGGCAGAAGCGGAATTCCCGTCTTAGGGAGGACCGGATGCGAATTGGTGGCAGAGTTCGTCTTGGCCAACTACCGCAGATAGAAAACGGCGTAGTGGTTAAGATAGTGCCCTAGAAATCAGGAGGTTGTGAGTTCTAGTCCCGCCTTAGACATGAAAGCCGGCTGGGTGACCTTGGGCCAGTCACTCTGTCCCTCAACCCAACCCACCTCACAGGGTTGTCGTTGTGGGGAAAATAGGAGGAGGAAAGACTATTTTGTATATTCAGGCCTTGAGTTACTTATAAGCGAATCATAGTCGGATAAAACTCTAATAAATATTAAAAAAAATAAAACCGCAGCTGACCCTACGGGGGAGGGCGAGGGGGGGCCGCCGCCGTTGCTTTGGCTAAGTAGGCAGCCCTCCCCGCGCCTCGCTTCTCCCGAACTCTGACTCACTCCGCGACTCCGCTTCCTCCTCCTCCTCCTCCCCAGGTGTGGTTCCAGAACCGGCGAATGAAGGACAAGCGGCAGAGACTGGCCATGTCCTGGCCCCACCCGGCGGACCCCAGCTTCTACACCTACATGATGACCCACGCGGCAGCCACGGGTAGCCTGCCTTACCCTTTCCACTCCCACGTGCCCCTCCACTACTACCCGCACGTCGGGGTGACGGCGGCGGCGGCGGCGGCGGCCGCAGCCTCCGGAGCAGCCGCCTCACCCTTCGCCACCTCCATCCGCCCGCTGGACACCTTCCGCGCCCTCTCGCACCCTTATTCCCGCCCGGAGCTGCTGTGCAGCTTCAGACATCCGGGCCTCTACCAGTCGCCCGCCGCCGCCGCCGCCGCGGGGCTCAACAGCAGCGCGGCGGCTTCCGCGGCGGCGGCGGCAGCGGCGGCAGCGGCGGCGGCGGCCGCCTCCTCGGCTCCGCCCACCGGCTCCGCCCCTTGCTCCTGTCTCAGTTGCCACAGCAGCCAATCGGCGGCGGCGGCGGCGGCGGCGGCCCTGGGCTCGCGCTCCTCCAGCTCGGATTTCCCCTGCAGCGCGGCGGGAGCCGCGGTGGCCGCTTCGCAGCGCTCGGAGAGCAGCTTCCTGCCTTACTCGGCGGCCGTGCTCAGCAAGACGGCCGTCCCCTCCCCGGACCAGCGGGAGGAGGCTCCCTTGACCAGATAACCGGCCACCCCCGGCGGCCTCCGGGGCTCTGTTGGGCCGGGGTGGCCCGGGGCAGGAGCGAACCGTTGGGGACGAGGTGGGACGGGAGGGCCGTAGCTGAAGCTCTAGTTCCAGCGAGCGGAAGGTTTTTCTAGCGCTGTTCTTAACGGTTCGGGCTATTAGGGCTCCGGTTTAATATGGAATCCCCCAAAGGAGAGGAACTGCTGCTGCTGCTGCTGTTGCAAAAGTTTAACGGATGGATTTGGGCCCCGGTAGACCAAAAACTATAAGCCCTCCCTCTTTCTCAGTGGAAGGACTGTGTGTAGGAAAAAAAAAAAAAAAAAAAGCGATCCCTTCCAGACATTTACGGTACTTTCTTTTTTTTTTAATCTTGGGGGAGCCTGGCTCTGCTCCCCCTGCTGATGGCCACGGGAACTGTTTGCATTTTTCTGAGTTCAGCTGCCTTTTTGTGTTGTGTTGTGTTTTGTTTTGTTTACCTTATGGTTTAATCGTCCGAAACGTGGTTTTGGATGGCTTAATATTTATACCCGGTTCCTTCGTGTTCTTTTTCTTTCGTCCTGAAGCGAAAAAACCAGCAGGATCTTTTCTAGGAATTTGGTTGAGGACGAAGCTTAACAAACACTGAAGGAAACGACCGCAGACACACCTGCGGGTTCAAGGAGTAGAGAGGGACTTATTTTAGGGAAAAAGGAAAGTCCGCTACTTACCGTCCTTTCTGATCTTTCCCCGAAGGCGGCTGGTAATACTCTTGCGCGGGCCTCCAAAAACGCTTCCTCAAAGAAAGCGACTGGGGAGGGGGGGAGATGGCCTTGAATGGCTTGGTAAAAAGATAGGTAGACTGGGACAAACGGAACGGTAGTTTAGAAAAGAGGAAACGCGGCTTGTTGCTTCCGACTCTCTTACTCTGCATTTATCTGGGAAATACTTGAAACTTTCTTGGCATGTATCCTACCCTGAAACGTATCTTATACTTATTTTTTTTTAAAAAAATGTTAAATTCTTCCCCTGTCCTCCCCAAACGGGGAAAATAATCACGCTTGCTTTATTTAAGCCCCCCTTTCCCCCTCCCCCCCCCGCGATCTGGCTAACAGAAAGCCCAAATCCCCACAACTTTCCGTGAACTTGAGAGACGCATCAAAAACCACCGGCGTTACTGCGGTGTCAATTTTGATGCTAATAATGTGCAGATTATGACGAAAATTGCCAATCATGTTCTCTGATGGACCCTCCTTTGAATGCAGAGTGGTGGGGGGAGTTTCCCGCACGGAGACCTGCTGTCAAGTACTAACAACCCGCTAAGGGAAGTCATTAGAAGAGACGGATAAGAGACTTGGTACATAAAACATTTGTTCCTGGTGCAAAGGCGGTAGGTTATTTAATGTTAGATCTGTTACCTTGGAAGTGATTTTTTTGCACAAGAAAGCTACGGTTCTGATCATCTCAATTGCCAGTTTTCATTTTGGGAACTTGGACGCCCTGGGTAGACTTTTCAGTTGATATTCCACCAATGTGAAAGAGCCTCATTAAATCAAACTTGGCTATATTTCCATAATGCTCCTGGCAGAGTCACTTTACTCTTCACATAATGAGATTTTTCTGAAGAGTTGAAGCTCTCACATAACTAGCTATTGCTTGTTTAGGCCCCATGTGTAAGACGTGAGCACAGGCGGTGCAAGCCCATTCATTTCCCCTAATTTATATATATTTCAAATAAGTGTCCTGAAATTTGCTGTTTTCAAAGACACTGTACTTGCTGGGATTCTTTTTTCTTTTCTTTTCTTTTACCAGCCCCACATTTTGATAATGGACATTCAGGAAATTATTTTCCAGTCTGTACTGTTTTGTTCAGTGAACAAAAACTGTATTTTATTTTTATTATTTTTATTAGTGAGAGGGGGGAGTCAAAATATAGCAAAAGATTGCTGGTATGAAGATAAGAGAGGAAGGATTAAAAAACGAGAGGTTTCAAGAAAAGAAGAGTAGATTATGTTAACAAGAACATGAGATATGTAGAGAACACTGAATTAAGGACCTAATCCTCAAATAATAATATTTTTTTTTAAATATACCAAGACAAAGCTTCTTATGCATCAAAAGAAAAATACCAGCTATTGTCCACTGACCTTATATTTAACTTTTAAATTAATATATAATTTAATGCTAGCTAATTTTTTAAAAAATGTGGCATTCTTTTATCAACATTTACTTTTTTTCAATTCTCTAAATATTTGGCAATGATGGCCCTTATTGGATATAGAGAGAAAAATTTTGGCAATAATGTTTACATTTTTCCAAAATAGAAATAGATAAATAAATCTATATATCTTGGAAGTGGTTGATAGGTTTGCTGGTAAATAAGATTTTAAAAGAAACAAAATAATTTTATGTTAGGTCCAATGGATCTAGTTATTATGAAAAAATTGTGAATAAGTCCTGTGCTTCAGATATTCACTGGCTGTATGAATTCACTGTAAAATATTTTACAAATGTGCAATAACAACAAAGCTTTGTATATTATGTTATTTATTGTGTTTGGTCATGTAAAATAAATGTTATTTAAATCAAAAGCCACCTGATTTATTTAAGTCTTCCTGATATTTGGTTTGTTTGCTGTTTTAATACAAATATATTTTAAAATGTTATTTGGGCTTATGACAGCTTCTTAAAATAACCACTTTTGCTGCTTTTTCATACACATATCAGAAGGATTAAGTCATACTAATTGGTTTTTTTTTTACTGCAAATGCAGCGCATTACTCATGTTTATAGTAGACATGCTTTTAAGTCCAAACATTGGTTTAAATAATTGCCTGGCCCAAAGATGAGTGTTTACAAACACTATGTGCATATTCTGTAGGCAAAGCAGTCAACAGACACTAAATTTACCTCACTTTCCATGTATTTTCCTGGTATTTTAAGTAAACATGGCTCACATCTTTTAGGACAAAGAAGTGCAGTTACTTTAATCTCCAAAGAGTACTATTTAACAAAAATAAAACAAGAGATAGTGCTGAAGATGTTTCCTTAGGACAAAATACAAGTTTTCCTTCCTTCCTTCCTTCCTTCCTCCCTCCCTCCCTCCCTCCCTCCCTCCCTCCCTCCCTTAAAATCGATATTTCAGTCAGAACATGTAAAAAGTCAATGAGGTGTATCAAACAGTCTATTTCTGTTCAATTAAAAACATTTTTTTTAAAAAAAAATCCTTGCCAATGTCCCTTGCACAAAATTCACCTTTATCAACTGCTCACCGTGGCATTAATTACAACGACACGGAAGCTATTGGGAATACAGAAGCTGCTATCACAAACCATTTTGGCCTGTAATTTACCATTATTATTGCATTAGCTCTAAATGATACAAGCTGATACTGTCTTTAATTGCAGTTTGGTTAAGTATATACTGGAGTGTTCCCTAGGGTTCTTTGTTAGATAAGCCACACACGCCCCACTTTCTCTGTCTCTCTCTCCCCCTCTCCTGCAGCCTATTTCTTCCCTGTCCTCCCCCCTTCTCCTTTTGCTCCCAAAACACCCCCATTAAAGAAATACGATTATAGCAGCACATTTGGACTAGTGATGTATCACCCTGCTTTTCTGTGCTCTTTGCTAACGCGGGGGTTGTAACCCTTAAAAACAAAAGCATTGAGATAGATGGGAAAGCAAACAGGAAAAGACAGTGCCCCCCAAACCCTGTCCGAAATAACCACGTATTTTCCCCCCCTGATTGTTGTTGTCTCGAGGGTGCGTAGAATGAAAAAATAATTCATCATAAAATGCAAGAAGACTGTCTGTCATCACCCCTGAATTGTTTCTGACAAGAAAATAAATCTGTAGGTTGTTTAATATATTTTATATTTTCTTTATTTCGGCGCTAATAGAAAAACCAAATTAAATGTCCACCAGCGAGATAGAAATGCAAAGATCGATGATCCAGCCCCCCCCTTACTGTCCAATCGCCCCTATTTAATTGACTGTATTTTCTGGGTAATTGAACTGCTTGTTGTAAATTGAAGATTTTATAGAAACGACATGAAAACTACATTTACTGACACTCATCGCATCTTTGACATTGATTATCTGATCAACGCATGTCATGCTAACCTCCAATTCTTCATTACACACTGTTTATGAGCTGTTACAGAAGAACTTGCTTGTTCCAGGGTGATTGATTGCCTTATTAACGCGTGTTCTTGTAAGTGTGACCGAACTGATTACGATGCATATGTTTAGAATAATGTTTCATTTAGCTGACTGCGAATAATGCAGGGTGACAGCTGCTGCGGGAGGACAAAAACCCGAACTACAGGGAGCATTTGGGACCAAAAAGCCCAAGTTATTTAAGGTGGAACCAATCATCCAGAGGGAACCTCTGGAACGACTGAAGCGCTTGACAGGGGCTTCCTCGGCAGCGGACCGTCCTTCCCCCCCAATAAATATATCAGCGTGTGTTATGGGAAACAATAGTCAGATATGGAGGGGGTGGGCCAGGGACAAGTGGAACGGGGCTTTAAAGCAGAGTTTTTTTGTTGTTGTTTTCACTGTGCCTGTGATGAGCCTTATTTACCAATAAATGTCCTCTCTGCTCCCACATATTGGCAATTCCAAAATGAAACCTGAAGTTTATTTGGTATAGGTTTTCTTTAGGGGAGGGGGGGCATAGGAATCTAAAAAAAATGTCAAGTTATGAATAGTAGAACTAAGAGTAGTTTTGGTTGCTGGCTCTGACCAGGGAAGAGGGCTGGCAAGAGGCAAGGCTTTGGCTGCCTTGCCCTTGTCCCTTTCGAATTTGTGACCGCCCCCTTTTGATACACCCTTAGTTCTCAGATCGGCAGAGTGTTTTTAAAGCCTCCATGGATGAAGACACGAAGAAGCAATATCCCTAGCTGGCTAAAGAAACATTTCCCTGTTCTATGATCTTTTCCTTCACTGAGCTTAAAGGTTGGCAAGGCACTGAATTTGTTTTACACGGGTATCCCTATCCAATGGTGGTGCTGTGACGCTTGACTTTGTCCCGAAGAAGTCACAGAAAGTTTATAAAATGATACTCTTCACCACCCCTCTTTCTCTAGCTGGGCATCCAAAACTGAATCCATCACGGTGGCAA